TAATCCTATATGTGATCCTTGCAGTGGATTAGTGCTTGTTGAAACTGAGGGATTTTGTGTCTGGAGCTCTATTCTCAGTAGATGTGGTAGCAAGCTGATTCAGACAGAGCTCAGCTATGCCAGGAAAAGGAAAAGAAATATTATTTTCTTTAAGACTCTAGATACTAATTTGTTGATACTTTGCTATCCTAGGAAGTCTGTCAAGTAGATTTAGAAATCCATAGCATATTGTTTGTTACTTTATAGAGGCATTTAACATCAGCTGAGTTTGTTCTGTCTCCTAGTTCTCTCCATTATCATTATTTTTTTCACCATATTTTGGACCGAAATACTTTTTGAAGAGTATTTCAGTTCCTCTGGAAAGCTGCTTATGGTCCCAGCGCAGCCTGCAGCATGAGGATGGATCAGCTTATGATCCACAGGGATCAGCTGAAGCAGCGTGTTCATTTGAACTGCAGTAGGAGTCTGAAAGCAGGCAGAAAAATATCCTGGTAGAATGGTAGATAGGATTGGACTGATGCGGCTTCAAAATAGAGCTCGATGCAATCGTGGTCTGTTTTATTCAAGAAGTCTACATTAAAGGAAACTGTTGGAAATTTCTGTCCTGAATGGACAGGATTCCACAAAGGCGAAATTCCATCTTTTTGTGCCTTACAGGGACAGGCATGCCTCAGGCCATGAACAGGCCCCTAGCCGTGCTTCACCTTGCTAACGCTCCAGCTCGACCACATCTCCACTTACCTTGCGGCAGCTGGCGCCGAGCGAGGCAGACGTGTCTGGACCCAGCACTGGGGAATCAACATCTCCCTTCCCGCAGCTCCGCAGCAGCTGCCGGGGCACAGACCTTGTGGCCGGGGCCCCTTTCTGCTCGGTCAAAGCCATAACCAGACAGGGGGTCATCATGAGGCTACTGGGTATGGCCCACGCTGCCTCCTGCCTGTTTCTGATGCTCCTTTCTGTACGGGTTTTCAGGCTTTTTGAGGTTCTCTTCTAACACGCAGAAGTGCTGTACACCATGATGCCTTCTGCCTCCGCTGCAGTGTTGTCCTGCGTGCCTGGTGGGCAAGGGTATAAAGAACAGGTACCTGACCCTTGCCGTGGGGTGCTGCGCTCTGTAACGTGCTGAGCAATGCGCTGAGAGCGAACAGGAGTGCGCTGAGTTTGCGGCTGGAGAAGAAATGTGTGGAGAAAATGGTGTGGTCTTGCCTTTGGGAACAGATGTTGAGTTTAGCAGTGCTGTCTGCATGGGCTGGAGGAAAGTAAGATGGGAAGAACCAGCAAGCAAGGCACTGACAGCCAAGGCAGTCAGCAAAGGATTTTGTAGGGGGAATGCAACACGTGTATGGCTAGATATTTGTTTTCAGTGTGCTCGGTGCCCTGCAGAACATGTGTTTTTGTGACTCCTTTTACCAGAGCACTAATAGCTAGGCCATCTGTTTGCCTCTCTGCATCAGGACAACCCCCTTGAAAGCCCACCTTGGAAAATGATTAGAAATTATCAGCTGTTTGTTTTAGCATTTAATAACAGTAATTAGCAAACCTAATGATACGTTTGACTATTGCATCCCATGTCTGTGAGCCCAGAGGGAGGCAAGAGATGGGACACATTGATTAGAGCAATTGAAACTCTCTACTCCCTTCCATTTTTTGTTTCCTTTTAGAAAAATATTCAGAGTAGATCTCTGAAAAGATGCATGGAAAAATCAGTGTTCAGATCAAAGCGGACTTGGGACAAGTTTAGCTTTCATGGGTGGATTACATGCAATCAGGGACAGAGTTTCTATAACATATTTGATTACTGACTTTTAGTTTATCACTAGAAAGCCCTAACACGAGGGATTAAGAATCAGAAAATCTCGTTTATATTGCTGGTTCTTCAAGTGACCTGCTAAGAAATCTTGTCCAAATTTCTTCACTTTTTTGTGCCTAATGGAGGTCTCAGTTAGGTGAGTAAAGCTAGATGGTGTGAATATCCATTTAGTCTGCCTAGTAAAGCTGCCATTTGCAGTAAGAAGGTGCAATGGAAAAGCTATATATTACTAGTATTTAATACAGTAACCACAGTTCCTGAACTGGGCAAGTCCTAAGGTGAATTAAATATACTCTGGTTTGTTCTGGAAGAAACCTAACATTTCTTCATATAGACTCTTCATAAAATTGTAAATAATTCAGACGTTCATAAAAAACAGGGATTTCTTGTGAATAATTTGGAAACAAGCAGAGGGTTTTAATACATATGATGCACTTGTAATAACAATTTCACTCTATTACTCAAAGCATGGAGCAATAATTTTTATCATGAATGAGAAACATTTGTCTCCTTGGCTGAGACTTCTCAAGATTTGCCTCCTTGTTTTTCTGTGCTTCAGCAGTAGAAGGATTTGGTCCAGATACTTATTTATCCTTCCATCATCTACAAAACTTAACTGGGTCATCAGGTAACCTGCGTCTTCCAAAGAGAATTAACCCATTTTCTCCAGTTTGCCCTGATAGCTTCTGCCCCTGTGGTAGAGCTGTATTTATCCTGCTCCCCTGAGGACTGTTAGATGAACTGTTGAAGGAGAATTTTTATACTGACGCAAAGACAGGACAGAAATGTTCTGGCCTCCATTTCCCTTTCTGTAGCCCACAATTCTCGTGTTACTGTTAGCAAAAGGCTCAAGAATTTTCTTTCAAGAATTTAACCCAACCTGCCAAAGTTTTTGATGTTTTTGATTTTTTGCAGAGCTCTCTTTGGGGGAGATGTAGGTAAGAGAGGGGTCTCAGACCCAAAATACCACTACTGATCATAAGCAAACTGAGATGAGTGGGCAGCGTCATCACTGGGCTGCTCACGGCTCATATCCTGGGAGAGGATCGTGTATGTGGGTTTGGATGTCTCCTGATGTCTTCTCTTAGTACTTTTCCACTTCCTAGAAATATTTAAATAATTGGGAATGGGCGAAAAGGTGGGAGGAGAGGGGGAGAGAGTGAGACTGACTGGGTAGTGGGTAGCGTGTTCTTCAGGGATGCAATTCCAGTTCAAGGTTTTGCTTCAGTCAATATCTGGAAACTCTTGAAAGCCTTGCTTACCTCTTGATATAATGGTAAAATTTTTGAAGTCTTGGAAAGTTTCTTGTGTTGAAAACATATTTCCCACCTAGTTTTAGTTACTGTATCAGTGTGCTGTTGTATAGGCTGGCTTGCTTTCCTGTTGGATACATCATGGATGAGATAATGGTTTTGGCATTGGTCTGGTGTATGAAATGATCCCAGCAAAGGGGTAATGTCCTTAAAATGTGGATTAAAAAAAAAAAAAAAAAAGTACTGGCCTGAAAATAAAAATGGGCCTGTTCCCTTATAAATTCAGTCCTGGGAACATTTGTTAGAGTAAGTGCCCATGCTCATGCTTTTTGGCAGAGGGCTGTATCAGCCCAGGTGAGGCTGAAATCCCTTCAATCTTTCTAGCCTCTGTAGCTGCTCGTTGCTGGAGAGGGTCAGCTGCGAGGCTGCCGTGCGGAGTCCCGTTCAGGCAGTCTGTGTGCGTGGAGCAAGGGGCCTTGGAGAAGCCATTCAGAAGGCTTCGGAAAGTGCTGGCCAGGAAACAGCCTCCAGCCGATGGCAAACGGAGACACAGACATTTAGACGGAGGTTGGTGAATAGGATCAGCTGGAAAAACAGTGTCTCAGGGGTATGTGAGTGTATCTCTTCTGTTTGGTGTCTGGTTTATACATCTCCGGGAACTCCTGTCACATGAGATAAACTCCTTGGATCTGTTCAAAGCAGTTCTTTGTCCTAGGGTAATCTAGGACACTGTTTTTTCCAAGCTCACATTTGCTTTCCTAGTCTTATGGCAACGTCCTCTCCAACGGTGGTATTTAGGAACCCTACAGAAATCACAGCCCCACACAGGGGGGTACCCTGTGTTCTGCAATACAGAATGTGACATATGGGTGCTGAGGTGCCAGTGCCTTGCACGACTCTTCCTTCCTGCTGGCCAGGTGATTTACTTCAGAGAAGCGTCTCATTCCCCTTGCTCAGAAGTGATGCTCCTGTTAAAGGGATTACAGTTTCCACTGAAAAGCTCAAAAATCATCTGCCTTTTGTTTCACAGCTTATTTACAAGGTCCTGCTCTGTACTAGCTTTCTGAACTGTAGTTTTGCAATGACTTTTTTTCCTAGGGAACATATATCTGACAACACACCATTTCAGAGAAACCCTATGATAATACATGAAGGAAGAACTGAGGATTGAGCAAGGAACTTTATTTCAGTTTCAAGCTTATTAAAATGTATTCATGGTGAAGAATAAAATAAGATGCTGTAGAATAGACTGTATTCACCTCTGTATTTATGATTGTATAATTCAGGGTAGAGTCATTCTTTTTATAGCTAAGTCTTTTAAGAACTGCTGTAAAACATAAAGTGCCAGACTCTGGCAGTTCAAAAGGAGTGTATTTTAAGGTAGGAAAGCTACAGGAAATAAAAAAAAAAGCCAAAAATCATTTCAGTTGCCAGCAGCACTCTCTAAATAGAAAGCATAGCAGGCATGAACTTTTAATCCAAATTCAATTTCTAAAGAATTGCCAGATTAGACTGTCTAACTGCATAAACTTTATGGGGATGCATTGCATCTGGGTAATGGTATATTGCAATCTATCTGGCAATGAGAGATGCGGTGTGTATTGAGCAACGGTGAAAAACTCTTCTACCTTCCTGATGTTGTCCAGTTTAAAACTCTTTCTGCAGCAGAATTTCCTTAGCGTTACCTGCTTGTTGCACTGGAGATTTGATGGCATTAGCTTAAAGACAGAAGAAATCCTAGTGACGAGTTTCGTTTTCTCTTTCATTGGAGGTGCAGCGATTGCAGGCATGTCTTCCTCAATTAGGCAAGCCTGAAAGCTCCAACGAGAGCCCAGGCTCTTGAATGTGCTCTAATTCATGTTTATCAATTCAGTGCACATAGTTTTTTTGACGTGTGCTTCCTGCCTGATTTTCTAACAATCCTTTATTTTCTGCAGGTGGCCGTGATAAACGAGGTGGTCCTGTCCTGACCTTCCCAGCCCGCAGCAATCACGACAGAATAAGGCAGGAAGACCTTCGGAAACTTGTGACTTATTTGGCCAGCGTGCCAAGGTAAAGCGAGAAAGAAAACACTTCAAAGCTTTGGGTGGATGGGTGGGTGGGGAGCTTGTTCTTGGCAGTTGCTGATTTCCAAGTATTAACCTTTAGTACCTTCAGTTCTTGGGACGAGGAAACAAAAGTGTTCCCTTCCTCCTACTGTGTACACTCTAATTGCTTTTACGGAGCAAGCAGCAACGCGGACGCGTGAGAGAGCGGAGCTTGCGCTAGGAAACCCGGGCTTCGGACTCGTGGGCCGAGTTCACGAGCACAGCCAAGAGCAGCTCCCATTTCCGATGATTCTGTGAGGCTGTTCTGGAGGCATGGAAAGGGAGGAAAGTGCACAGAGTGCTACTGAGGTCTGCCAAGTTAAATTTAGCAAGAGGGACAGAGCCCTTTGTCTGCCTTTACCTTTTAGTGCCTGGTGGGAGCTTCAGGAGAGCCAGGGAAGGGCAGTAACTCCTGATAAAGAAGAACCTGCCCTGCATGAGGAGGCAGCTCTTTCTAATCTGGTACCTACCAGAGCTTTATGCCGGCCCAGGAAAGAGCATGGACTAAGGGGCCAATTTTCAGTGAGAGATGCTTCAAATGTTTCTGCACGAAAAAGCTCCACTAGAAAGTGCTTTTCCTGCATTAGTCCCTATGTCCCTTCTCCACTATGCAGGTCCCTGTCCCTTTTTTTGGAGACATGGGAGAAGTTTGAACCTGTCAGCTGTTGCTCAAGGCCATTTCCCTTAGAGAGTTTTAGGAGATGGTTTTCCCGAGCCATTGTTTAGTGACTCAGAAAGTGTAAAGCTATATACATCCTCATATACTTCCTTTCCCTATTTTCATCTTCCCCAATATCATCCTCATGAACCATTATACCCGTTACTGAGGTGAAGGGCATTTGGGTGTTCTACCTCTGGGACTGTTCTGGTACTGCAGGGTAAGTGAAGTGCTGAAAAAGGCTGTCACTGAGATATAATACACCCTGGGCCATCCAGGAGTGCCTCCTTTTTTCAACCAAGGATACAATCCATAAAAGAGTGCTTATATTATTGCAAAGAGCTCAGGGCTAACATCAGAAAGACAGAAGGACTGACTGCATCAGGATGTCAAGAGGTAAGGATATCAGAAACACATACAGAGCTCCTGGTAACGTGTGATGTGCAGAGAACAAAGCTCCTGCCTTGTGTGTGAGAGACTTGAAGGCAGTTTGGAGACTCGTCACTCAGCTGCAGAGAGTCTCGGGCAAGCAGAGCTGCGTGTGCCCCGTCTGCCAGTGCTCATTTCCTGTTGACAGTGCTTCATGAGGCCTCAGGCAGTGTCTTTTTTGCTGCGGTAGACTTTTGCTCATCGAGCTTTTACTAATCAGCTGAATTGGTTTGAGTCATCATCTTTTTTTCCCTCTTTCTTCTTTTTTTCTTTTCCTGTGGCCAGCTCTGTTTGCAGCTGTATTGTATGAGAGATTATGGACATGCTGCAGGGTTGGGAAACTCATTGAATAGGTCATTCAGTGTCAGTGCATGTCCCGGGCTTGGCAATCTCCCTCCAGCTGCCCTACTAATACAATTGTTCCCTTAGATCTTATCATCTCCTGCATGGTCACAACTATGAAGATATGACATCGCCTCTCTTCCGTCAGAGTCTGGGATTGCAAACAATTGCAAAGCTAAAACCATCTTCTAACAGGTTTATTAATACAGCTCTTCCCCTGGGGAGGTGGTGATAACACCGAGGTAAATCCCTTCTGTTCCTTCCTCACCCTCCCCTCAAGTAAAGGGACCAGCTCAATTTTTGATGTAGCTTTTGGTTGCCTTCATGTGAATTGGTCCAGCACTGGTTATTCTTTAGTCATGCTGGAGTAGGGGAACAAAGGTGCATGCTAAAGGAGCTAATACAAAACCCAGCAGCTTGTCTGCCCAGAAATATTTTTAAAAGTGTTCTCTTGAGTGGTCCCTGTGGCAAAGCCTTGTTCTGTACTGATATCTGAAGCCTTTGAGAGGCCAGTATCTAATTATACAAGCAAAGTTTTCTTCCTGTGCTGTACAGTAGCATTCTACCAAAATAAACACTTTTATTAGTATAGACTCTGGATAAAAAGAAGAAAATATGCTCATGATCAGAGTGTTGGAAAGGGGAGAGAATTTTCAGTGCTAGTGGGAAACCTAGAAATTCTGTCTTCAGAAAGTCTTCAGAAAAGAACACGTTAATTTACCATATAGATATCAGTATAGTAATTCTCTCCTTATTCCCAATGCAGTGGTTCCTGAGTGAGACAGATTGCTATCCACGTCGATACCATCTGTCATTTAACCCTCTTTTTTATGTCTTAATGGAAAGGGCAGTGGTGGCATGTTGCTGAGAGCTTGGAACAGGTATAGGATTGGTCGTGAAATATGATGATAGATTAGGGTAAGCAAAACCAAGGTCTTGCTAGTAGCTTTTAGAGTTTCTGATTCAGCTTTTGGCAATTCCTGTTTCAAAACAGAACAGTGTCTGATGTGGGCTTTCTGAAAGCAACAATGTGTGCTTGAGTTGGAGCATAGCAGGGAGCATGTGAAAGCTGCCGGGGTGGCAGCCAGGGAGGCTCCTTGCGTGGGTAAGGATCATTTCTGGGTGGCTAAGACTTCAGCCTAGGAATGTAGTTTGTTCCTATTCCAAATGATGAACTTACTGTTCATGGTGTCTTAGGTGGCTTATGGATCCTGGGAGATGCCAAAGGCTGAGTCTGCAGTCTTGAGTACTAGAAGGAGAAGACAAGGGTGCATCTAACGTTTGGGAAGAATTTGCTCTGGTTTGGTGCTATCCTCCAACTCTTTTAGACACACAGAGAGAGCAAGGGTGCATCTAACATTTGGGAAGAATTTGCTCTGGTTTGCTCCAACTCTTTTAGACACACAGAGAGATGCTTTTCTCCTACGAGTTCCCCTGTAATTAATTACTAAGAAACTGCAATGCTATCCATTAGAAGTAAAGATAATTGCCACTGATGCCAGGTTCCTACCGCCCTGCCATTTTCTGCAAGTTTTACACTTGCACTATTGCTTTCTTGATAGGTAAGGCTGGGGTTTTTTTGTAAATTAGGGGGGCTGTCATTTATGTGTAAATTTAATTGGGATGGGATGTTTAGAGATTTGGAGGGTGTGACCCAGTGTAGGAAAACAGAAGGTTTATGATCACTGAGCTGAGCTAATCCACTGTGGGGTGGGGGTTCCTGGCTTCTCTGAGGATTTTATTTTTAAACACGGGTGTAGGGCCATCTATTCCAGTCGAGTAGGTTTTGATTTATACGTGTGTAAATGAAACTAGCACCAGGGCAATCTTTTCTGCGAGCCCTTCAGAATTAAGAATTAAGCTATGCGTAGGCTATAGGAGGATAAAAAGGAGACAGAATATTATTAGCCTGAGTTATCTGCCTGCATGGTGAAGCAATATGATGAAGGAAATGTTCTCTGTCAGCTATAGTGAATCTTCCGGCTGAACACATCAATCTGTTTTGGAGCCAAGATAAGCAGTCCTCCTTGTTCTCTGCAGCGGGGGAAATCCGAGATGCCTTGGAGGCCTGTATTTTTAAAGACATCTACTTTTATTTGTCCTCTGTTTAAAAACCTGCTTAAATATTTCCCCGTTCTGGGGGACATCCAGGACTCATAACAGTCGCAAAATGTTTCCAAGGGACAGCTCTGTATGTTTGAACAGCTTGTCAGAGCTGCCTGTCTGAGTAAGATTAAAGGTGCTAGAATCAGTAAAACAAATTAAGTGCCTTTAAAGAATTAGTTCAGTGATTGGGGATTTTTAAAATTAAAAGAACAAAAAAAGGACCTGGCAAAAGATAGCAATGCTCACCGTTCTCTCAGTTTTATTTTAAGCTCTTCTATGATGACCTGTGGTACTAGGTATATTAGCTTCTCTGGCCAGAAATAGTGGGAAACTCGTCTTGTTGATTGATAGGAATTAAACCCTAGAGCTCAATTTTCTGTTACATAATCTTAGCACAAAAGAAGCTTTTTAGGATCTTTTATTTTTTTCTGGAGGCTTTTGTAGATCTACAAAAATATCCACATATTTTTAAGACAACACCAGGGATTTCATGCTTATTTTAGTAACTAAATATCTGGTGCCGCGTGTTAGATAATTATTCCACCATACGCTTGCCTCAAAAGACAATGCTAATAGATGAAGTGAAACTAATGAGGCTAATGGAGGTTTAGTATTTTCCTTAAACATAACTTTTTTTTTTTTAATGGTAAGTGTGTTTCAGAGAAAGAAGCTCGTTAGGAGGATATAACAGACAGGAACGCTAGTGGGTTTAAGACTCTATCGCCACTCCACAGCCAGCTCAAATCCAGCCTCCATCTTATGTGGTAGTGGTACATGATGTTATTTATCAGCATGTGTTTATGAATGAGGGAACTCCATGAAGGTGGTTGGAGGGGTCTCATCGTGGGCTCTGTTGTTACAGGGCTTCTGACCATGTCGCTCTGTTTTGTGTTTTGTGGTCCCTCAGTGACAGCATGGGGACCAAAATACATGTTCAGTTCTTGATGGAAGTGAGCTCTTCAAAACAGGAACCCTGATTTCCTTCCAGCTGTGATAATGATCTGTCCAGAACAAGACTAATACTTTATTTCGAGAGAATTGGACAATGTCTATAATTCATGTTAAAATTCTGCAGTACCTCTCCACAACTGCCAGTCTGGCAAGGTTCATTGTGACCAAAAGCTAGAGGAGCATGTGGACTTTCTAGGAGGGAGGCAAAGCAAGAGGAACACTCAGAGGCCCGGAAAGCAGGAACTGAGAGAAAAATGCAGGCTTTCCATATCCATTTCCCAATTACTTCCTGCTTTCACTGTTACTCTTTTCCTGGATAGTGTAGGGACAGCTCTTTTAAAGCTTGGGACTTAGGCAAGATGTCTGCTCGCTGCTAGGTCTGAGAGCATAGATTGTTCTGAAGGACTCAGTCCTTCATTTAATATATAAAGAAAATGCACAAGTGTGGAGGAGAAGATCCTTTTTGCAGAGCCGGGCTG